CATTCAAAAATGATCCTCAAAAACTCATCTGGGAGATGACTCGACTTAACCAGTTTTACCACTTCGCTACTGAAATGTATTTGCGAGATGCATATCCTTTGTTTTGCGATCGGCAGCGTCAATGCAACTAGTTGTCTCCTGCTGCCTTATTCAGGAGGAAAGTTTTCTTCTGCCCGAGCACTCAGGTTTATGAATGCATCAGAAAATTGTTTAAAAGTATCACTCCCCTATTCCCAACCAAGAAACTCATTTGCATAAAAAATAACGCGGATACAGCGTTCCCACAATTCATCAATATCTAATTTTCAATAAGTTTGGTAATGCCATAAATTATCACAGTCATGATCAACAAGACTGCGGAACAGCGTAGATACTATTAATCTTAATAGTCAACCTTCTGGAAAATTTTTAAACCAACTCCTGTGCACTTTTATTTTACGAATATTGGCTCCAGTATCGGGCATTATCGTGCAATGTTAAGCAGCATGTACGACGTAAGGCGGAGATGGTGCGAACAGACTGTTTTTATCCAACAGTTTGTGGTTATGCGCTATTCAGCCGTATCCACCAATCTTCATTATACGACGAAAGTTTTAAACTGTTCAAGTATGGGCTGCTGCTTAGGGAGCTAACAACTGGGAGGAAACCCCATCAGTTCAGGGAAAATTCGCTCTTGCACTTTCAGACAAAAGCCAAAGGTGCACGGAGAGAAATATTCAGTAAAAATTACGGAACTCTCACTTCACTCACCGATTACGGAATCGACTCAGAAAATTTTAGTGACAGTGTCGTAATTTTTCACAAGAGATTCAGATAAAAATTACGGAACGCTCCGGAAAAATTCCGTGACAGTTTCGTAAAATTTCCGACAACCACATTTCCCTCCGGAATTACGGATAAGATACGTAATTTTTATTGAATATTTCTCTCCGTGTGAAAACATGCTATTTCGAAAGTTTTCATGTGAGTGAAATCTTTTGTTGTATCCTCTGTACCAGAGGGAGTCGTCTCCTCATATCTTTCTGGAATCTTGCCGTGTTCTCTACCTCTGATGGTCTGCATTCTACTCCGCCTCCATGGACATTAGTTCTCAATCTGATAGTCTCGATTGTTTTTTTTATCGGTATTTTACGTCGCAAATTTTTTTAGTTCTGCCCGCCCACTTTTTTTGTATTTTTTGAATTTCGTCTCGAGGAAATATTGATATCCCTGCAATGCGTGAAGAAAAAAAGAGATTCAAAGTTTCCGCCGACATAAAAGAAGAAAAAAATGCATTTCTCAGCTGATCATTCCTTTCTGATTCTTTTTTCATTTCATTTCCTTTTAATAATAATTAGAATCCGACCATAGGAATGAGGAGGGAAAATAGATTTAAAAAATTTTTCTATTACTCGAATGAGATTTCGAATGACTTTTATTTTTGGTATTTGTTTCGATCTCAAGATAAACCCTTTATTGATCTTTAACATAATTCCTTTTCGTTCAATGTTGTAACTGGTGAATTAAGAGAAAAAAATATATATAATAAGAATAAGAATGAATAAAATTAAATTAATCTAATTGTGAAGACAGGAATGGAACGAAAATAACATAAAATGTAGCCCAATTTTTCTCTCTGCGTATCTTTGAATCACAACTCTTGTACTTCATAAAAAATTTTAGGTAATTTTATGTAATTTTGTTACGTCATTTTGACCTATTCAAGATAAATTTTACCATAAATTGTCCTCCGTATTTATTTCAGCTGAAACAGAGTTGAGCAGATGACAAAGCAATTACAATCGCAATCTCCATAGGGTAGCATTACCTCACTAACAATAACATCTGGGATCATGGTGTGGAGTCACGCAGGAGACATCAAAGTTTTCGTGTCTCTCTATACGGGTCGGCTGAACTTCAAAGTCCACGATAGCTTCATATATACATAATTCGAAAACTTTGGCCCAACTCGTGTAATTTTCACTCAATAACCACACTCGCGTGCCTTTGAAATTCTCCATCTACAGAGATTATATCACCGTCCGCTAGTCATATCAGAATTTCACCCTCGGGTACGGATTCGATCAATCCTGTAATTTAGCCAACAAAGACACACATTCGTGGAGAAAAAACTGTCCAACAGCACGGAAATTTTTGTCTCTTACTACTATAAATTCCAAAAAATTTATCGCCCCTTAATTGTAATTTACCGTTTAATTGTAAAAATGTACTGCCCTGGAGTTGCAATATACCCTTTAGTAAGTTTTTAAAGTATTATAACCCGCATGAAAAAATTCAATAGAAAACCTAGCGAATTCGCTAGAAAATTCTATTGGAATTCTATAGGAATTCTATTGAAAAATTCTATTTGTTTTTTGCGCTGATTCTATTGGATATTTAATAAGAAAAAGTCAATAGATTTCGAATTTCTGTTTGAATTTTTCTCTTACATTTTTTCAATTGGAATTATTGGGCCCAAATTTTCAAAGTTTTTCCCGCTGAATCTTATTTTGTTTCGCATTGCAGAATCCTAGTGGAAAAAACTTGGAAAATCGATGCCCAAGTATTCTTATACATAGAAAAAATTTCGAGAGAAACATTCAAACAGAAATTCGAAATCTATTGACTTTTTCTTATCACATGTCCAATAGAATCAGCGCAAAAAACAAATAGAATTTCTCAATAGAATTCCAATAGAATTTTCTAGCGAATTCGCTAGGTTTTCTATTGAATTTTTTCATACGTGAAACATAACTCGAATTTTGAAGATTGAAATCTGAAATAAATTCTGAATTAAAGTTTTGTTTTTCCGCGAATAAATCAACAGAAGTCAAAAATTTTTTTCTCTTGCCCAATTTCTCCAATTCGCCGATATTTCTTGCTTCCCTATCCTTAATTGCCTTCCTGTCGCACTTATCCATGCCACCCCAATTTACCCTGCTCTCATCCCCGTCATGTTCCTGATTTATGACACGACATCTGTGGTATCTGTGATACTAATGGACCTTCACATTCTCCTAATGTCTGCATTTTTTGGCAAGCGTTATTGGTTTCAGCTGCACACAAATAGTTGAACAGCCACATAACACCAGCGTCATAGATACCAAATGATTCTTCTCTCCACACGCGCAATTTTTTCATCATACCGAAGCCATAAAAGAAATGAGAGGAACACGTTCCACACGTGCTGTCTCATTCCCATCAACTTTTACATCCATGAAACGCGCATAATGGCGACAGGCACGTGCATGCATGAAGAGAATAAAATTAAACGCAGCAATGTAAATGCGGAGGGAGGAGCTGTAAGCGTCGCAACCGAAATATTCCAATCTTTCTCGTGTTTCTGTACACGCTGCAGTGAAACTTATGGATTCAAAAAACCGAGGAATGTGTCCAGAATGAAAGAAACACAAGGCTTTCGCATAAGTGGATTGGAACAGGTCCAATGGGATTCGGTCCTTCCAACTTCCAGAAAGGACAATTAGAAAAGCACTTTACCACAGGTTTTTTCGGTGAATTATTCGAGGGAATGTTTATGAGCGAAATTTCCAAGTTTCTGTTCCCTCTTGGCTTCGGTCTTCACCGGCTTCACACAGTGAAATGTTCAGTAAAAATTACGGAACTCACAATTCGCTTACCGATTGCGGAATCGACTCAGAAAATTTAAGTTTAATATTCAGAAAAACATTGCAACTTTCAGCTTGAATATATAATTAAGGGTTATACTGAACATAAAAAATCTCACGGGACCTCTTCAAGTGTACGAACAATTCGCTTACCGATTACGGAATCGACTACTCACCCCGAGTCCGAGTCCGATTACGGAATCGGAAACTCACTAAATTTAAGTGACGATATCGAAATTTTTACGCGACCAACAGAGCGTTAAGGATGTTTAACCAAAATCCACATTATTCACCATAATTTTAATATTTAATTGTCATAATTGCAACCGAATGAGGTTTGCCTCGACTGAAGACACACGGTATTGAAAAAATAAGTACTTTTCTCAAGTAAATGAATATTTGGCAAAAACATTTCTTCTTCCCAGTGCGGCCTGGAGCAATAATCTCTAAAATAAATAAATTCTTCTCCCAAGAAGACGATTCCTTGGTAGAAGTAATTTTTTTTCTCAGTACAATATTTATTCACTCGTCTCTCCCCTCTGAATTATCACGGTATTAATGAACACCTTCATCAAATATCAAGTATAACTGATATCGAACACTTCCAAATCGCTCAAATGGCCCCAGGATAACGAGACAAATATCCCGCAGAAGCGGGAGGCTTCATTACGAAACAGTAGCCGAGTCAAACTTCTGCTTACACTGAGAAAAAAAATTATTTTTGCCAAATATCGATTTACTTGAGAGAAGTATTTATTTCCTCAATAATTATCAACATTGAAAAATTAATCAAAATTCTTTCCTCTAGAAAATAAGAAATTTAGGAAAAATGAATAATTATTGAAGGAGTTCATCGAAGGTCATGTACAGCATAGTCTTCCTCTAGAGCAACATGATTGTCATAATTGAAACCTAATCAGGCGTGTCTGTGAATGACTCGGATAGAGAAATTCAACTTTAAAAAAGTAAATACTTCTCTCAAGTAAATAGATATTTGGCAAAAATATTTTTTCTCAGTGTAGCTAAACGATATTCGCTTATTCGCCACGGGGACATTTTCCCCCTTCACAATGGGTTATACGTGCCACCCATTTACTGTACCACGTTTTGCACTATCTTCGAAGACCAGCTGTAGAATACATCTATTTCGTGGTGTTTTTTGCTCACCACTTTGTCCCCGAATTGTCCGTTTATCCGGTTACAGCGTTGCGTTCGTTTAACTGCACGGGGATTTTCATTTTTTCCTTCTTTTTCCGTCCTTTTTTCGCGGCCCATTCTACCGGCTTATTGGATTCGTTAACGCTGGCGTGCGCAATCGAAAAGTCAAATGTGATTGTTGCCGAACCGCAGTGTGTATAAATGATGGGGAAATCAACGATTCTTCGCATTTTACAGGTACATGGCTATCATGAGGCCACTTCACCATCACATGTCACGGAGGCGCACCATTGCTGCGCTAATCCTCATTTGGGTCGCCTCGGCGTTACTCGCCATGCCGTGTCTACTTTACTCTACGACGATGACGAAAAGGTGACAATGAACGTTTTATTAGAATTATTTCGATTTTAATTCCGCGAAAACCATAAAATGGATAATGTGAACACTGCGAAAACTGGTGTCTGACTTTTAGACATTTTTGTAGATATTTTTCATACATGGAGAGAAATGTTCAGTAAAAATTACAGAACTCACAATTCGCTTACCGATTACGGAATCGACTCAGAAATTTAAGTGACGGAGTCGGAGTTTTTCATAGGAGATTCAGGTAACAATTATGGAACGCTCTGGAAAAATTCCGTGACAGTTCCGTAAAATTTCCTACAGCCACATTTCGCTCCGGAATTACGGAAAAGATACGTAATTTTTATTGAATATTTCTCTCTGTGTAGACCAAAACCCGATTGAATGAAGCGGAGTATCATACGCATGACAAAATTTAATAGAAAAACCTGGCGAATTTGCTAGACAATTTTAGAAAATCGAGATATTTCCTATCGAATTTTCTCGGTTCAAATTTTCAAAACTTTTTCGTTTGATTTTCTTAATGAAAAGAAAATAGGCGAGGGTCGGGTAAAATATTGACGTATTGAGATCTTTTCCAATTGTCAATATCTTTATTTATAAGTGAAGATGTTGAAAATTAGAAAAGATCACGAAATATTCCATTTTGTCCGGCTCCCCTGTAGAAAAATAGAATGACAAAAACTCAGAAAATTTGAGCCGACGCAATTCTAGAAAATGTCTCAATAGAATAAGTTGTATAAAACGATATTCGATCTTTCTGTTCAACTTATTCTATTGAGACATTTTCTATAGAATTTTCTCGGCTCTCTGTCCGTTTTTTTTTCTATTGAACATTTCAATAGAAATTGAATAGAATTGTCTAGAGAATTCGCTAGATTTTTCTATGAAATTTTCTCATACGCGAAGTCTTTTTATTTTTTTTTGTTTTTATGACCGAATTTGGCCAATCATTATTATACATAAAAAATTCAATTTCATTAAATTTTTAAGATGAATGCGAGATCTTACGGGCGATTTGACTTTCCATTGAATTTAAATTAACGACATTAAAAATTCAAATTGCATTATTACTCGAATTTAAAAAAAAAATCTATAAGAATATAAACACACATGTAAAAATTTAATGAAAAACCTAAAGCATTTACTACATTGAGAGAAGAAAAATCTCCATGTAGACCAAGAAGAGGAATGACATCTAAAAAAGACTGACATTCAAATTCGTCTAGTGTCTTCTCTCGCTGGAAAATCTGGTTTTTTCTCTCAGTAAGAAGCATTAACCGCTCAATGTTCAATCACGTGATGATTCAGACTGATCAATAACGAAAGGCCCAGACCCGACAGTCTATCGGCCGTGTCCATTAATTAAGTTTGATACTAGCCAAATGGTAATTTGGTTTCCCCTAAAGCGCCAAAGGAAGCAATTGCAATAGCTGAAAATTGAGAAATCAAAGCGATTCACCCATTTCACTCACAGATACTCCAACGGGAAATCGAGGATAGTCTGCTACGTGCTGTGGCCCGATGGTGACTACCTGAATAGCAGAAGCGAATATATGTAAGTACCATTTGAATCCTACACCGCGAGCAAAGCTGAGAAAAAATTATACAGAAAACCTCAATGAAGATAATTTGAAGAGGCGAGGGTGAAAAGCCAAGAACCTCTGGGTTTTTATTCAGAGAACCACAAGGCTCTTGATTTCAGCACTCTTCTTACTTTAAGGACCCTATTTAGACGAATACGTTGAGAGGAAAATTTCCTAATATGTAGGCGATATTTACTTGAACACGGAAAGAAATTTTCTAGAAAAATTCTAGTACGAGTACTGGAAAAAATCACAATCTCCCTGCTGAGGACCTTGACCATGTTCTTTGGCATTGCCCTCTGCATGAACCCATGCTCCGTTCTCTTCGGACTCTAGGTTACCGTCCACCATATGAGAGTCGAACATTTTTGAAAAATTTGAAGAAAGACTGTATTAAAACCATAGACCTATTCCTGAGAAAATGTAATTTGGATGTGTGAAAAGAAAAAAAACATACACTAAAAAAACATTGTTAAACTCAAAAACAAACACTTTGTCAAATACCAATAATTCTGTTCATATGTACATAATTCTATATATATACATATTGTTGTAGCTGTATGAACCTTCTAGGTTTGGGTAAGCTTAAATAAAAAAAAAAATTCCCCTGCTGTGAAAAATTCTAGTGCTGTTAAGGTAAAATTTCTTGGTATTTCTGGTGAAATTTCTGGGGATTTCGGTGTAATTTTCACAGAAATAAAGGGAAAAATTCACGTTTTCCCCAATAAAATTTCTAATGCCGGCACTGGAATTTTTTTAAAAAATTTCTCTCCGTGTACTCCGATATCCTATAATATCCAGTGATTCATGCTAAATTTCTAATTTCGTACACGCGATCTCCCACTTGGGAATCCCATTCTGCCGACCATGTATACCGCCGAAATCTCGATGCAATCCCCACAAATCTCGCGCTTCCATTCTATCGGCTTGAAATATTACATTTAAAATTATTCTGCATAGCGGAAGGACTTCAATTCCTGGCGGGTGAATAGTGTGCGAACAAGTGGTGAGGGAAATTAGTAGTGCTGGTAGACGTGTGAATAGAAGCAGTACATTCCTATCTGGTGCATACGAGGATGCACCGTCGGGAGCCATGAAAGTACTTCGACCTAATTAGGTATACAATGTATGCTGAATGGTCTGATTCCGAGGTATTGTGAGTGACCCGCAGCAGCTAACAAGGGAAATCAATCAAGAACTAATATTGACCTGCATTTATCTGCTAATTTGGATCGAATTGGAGGCTATTTGAGACTACTTGATACCGCACAATGAAGGGTAGAGCAAATAATCCTCCGGATGCGAGAAATTATTGAACTTCCGGTCTGTCGTTAGATCTTGGTACATACTGATCAATTTCGTTATCAACGCTGCGGGAAATTAGAACTGAAGGCAAGAGCTTCTTATCACAAATAAGAGTTCTCAGCATATGAGGAATCACAAAGTGAATAAACAAAAACTCAGATGGAATATTTGAAATTGAAAATAACGATAATAGATATTTTATTTCCCAATAATTATGAGCAGAATAAAAACACCACTCAATAAAAGAACAACGACTATTATTCCAGTTTAGCATTACGTAATACGTACGAATTTGCAAATTATACGATTATGTTTCATAATTTAATGATTCACTCCTAAGCAATAGTTAACAGTTCCATTTTTTAATACTTCTCCCTGCACATATTAATGTGCTTTTTTTACACCCGCGTATCCTCAAACATTTTTTTAAGCACGAAAAAATTATATTGACTGTACAAATTGTTTACTGTTATTTAAAACATTGAAAAAAAAAATTTACGATCCTAAATAAACTCGAGAGTCACTCCTGACGAAAAGCTATACATCCATAAGATAATGTACACAAAACTCCTAATGATACTAATTTTTAAAGTATGTTTATATTGTAAATAATAATTAATAAGTAATAATGCTTAACAAGTAATGATGAACAAAAAAAACTCACTGTATGGCTTGAAGACGAAAGCCCAAAGCAATTGAATCGTCTTCGATTTGATTATTCTCATGTTTCTCTTTTTACATATTTCTTGCAGATATAATCTCATATTCCTCGGGGTGACGTACCTCATCCCGATGACGGTCATGGCGGTATGCTATACGCTCATGGGTCGGAATTTATGGGGCTCCAAGTCCATAGGGGAGCATACCCAGTATCAAAAGGAATCCATGAAATCGAAACGCAAGGTAAGTGGGGAGAATTCTCCTCAGGATGGGATTGAGTGCATGTGGAGGATGACGTCGGGACTTTAATGGTACTTCAATGAGCATCATCACCGATTTGATGACAAAGAGAGAAATTATTTCTTGAAGCAAAGATGAACGTAATTACGTAATTTTCATTATTTCTCCTCAATTTGTAAAAAAAGAACAGCTGAATTTTTTCTAAATATTTCTCAAAATTATTATTATTATCTCAAAATCAAAATGATTATTATTAGCTATTTTGACTAAATGCTCATTGTTTTATGAAAAAAATTATTGTTTATTTACAATTTTTTTTTTAATTCGTAAATTCAGAGGTTTACTTTTCCGTGAAAGCACCTTTATCGCACTACACTTGCATACGAGTTATCCAATATTAGAATGTCAGGCGCAGTCGCCAATTCTTCAGTAAGTGATCAAGAATAGGTGCAGGGAGACGCCTGAGCGCTCATGCAATTTCGATGAACATGATCGTATTATTAATTTGAATGATAATTAAATTATTCGATCCCGACGTTTAGCTTTAGTAATTAGCAAGGCTAATTACTAATTAGTTTAGGTGAAGGGAGATTAGTATTTTTTTCCCAATTCCTAAAAAACGAGCGTTAAATTTTTTTATAATTTCTATTTCTGAAAATTGCTGCATAATGTTATTATTTCGTATTCCCTTAATTTCAAATGAATATTGATGGTTTTATAACAAACTATAGGCTAATCTAAAACTCTAGTGATCAAGTATAGCTGCAGGGAGACGCCTGATGCAATTACGATTGTCACGATCATTGGATTGCTTTCAATGATAATTAATATATTTACTCAGTCACGTGTATACCCACTCGGGTCTATCAATTTGTTCCCTCCCCTCATCAACTCCTATGATAATTAAATTATCCGATCCCGATGTTCAAACTCTCGCTAATTATTGAATTTTCCCAGCACTTGTTCGAAAGTGAACGATCTCAATTATAAAATTTTGATGTCCTCGCGATTCGTATGTTTCAATAATCATGTCCACCAAATTTGCAGCGAAACCACCGACACGCTATATTTGCGTTCAGATTGTTCAAAACTCTTCCATCACGATTAACTCAATAAAAATAATTGAAATGTAGCTTTCATCCCCCGGGTTGTATTTATGATCTACAGTCGTCCCCTCAAGCCCAATGGACAGGATGACGAGATAACGCTGATCAAAATTCAATAATTAAATTTCGTCGATCACAAAATTTCCTAAAATTAACAGCCATAAAAAACTAATTACCTGTATTACGAAATTCTTCCATCATCACGACCTACATTTTTAATGAACATGCATTCTCGTCCAAATTGCCAGTAAATTCTTGTGGCCACAGCAATATGATGGGCCAATGAAAATTAAAAAAATTGCTGTCATCCTGTAAAATCAATCGACGGTTCCTTCCCCTATCCTTTCTTATATAAAAATTATAATTTTCTTCTATTTATTATTGATTCCCCAAACATGGTACCCGGAGCACCGTTACCGGGCCACTCTCAACAAAAGACAGAAAGGATTATCGGAATAAAACAGAAGTGGAATGCAAAGCGAGAGATTCCAAATGTATAAATTTAACATTCAGTTTCAGGAGGGAGTTATCGTATTTCAATCAGAAGAGTGAGAAAGATGCTCATGAGAGTCGAATGGGACCGTATGGAGAGAAAAGTTTGATACAATTTACCTAGAAAATCGTGGCAAAATTTACTGCGCGAGAGGTAATCGTAGAGCGAAATGTAATTCAATGAAAAAATACTTGTTTGTGGAGAATATTTTACGATTCGTTGGGTAGAAAAAAACATCTGTGGATGCAAAAAATATCCTCTTTTACAGAAAAATTATATCGTGTGCTAAATGAAAAAAGGTCGTATTGACCATTTTTGATTTTTGGTCGATTTGGGCTCTACAGAATCATTTTGACCCAACTTTTGAGGACAATTTTTTTTTGCTCATACGATCTTTTTCCACAAATTTTTCTCCAATAGTGGAAAATGAAAAAAAAATATTCACTACTTTCTCTTCAATTTTCTGATATTCGGTTGTACTTAAAAAAAATAAACATTATTCTAGAAAAATTTCTATTGAAGAATTTCCTCGCCTCAAATTTTCTATTTTTTTTATTTGTTTATCTTAATGAAAAGAAACAAAAAAAATAGAATGAAAAAAACTTGAAAAATTCGAACCGAGGAAATTGTATAGAAAATATCTGAACAGAATAAGTTGACCGAAAAAATCGAATTCTATTGCCTTTTTCTACAGAAAATTTTCTGCTGAAAATTCCAATAGGTTGGCTAAAAACTAATAAAAAATTCAATAGAAATCGAATAGAATTGTCTAACAAATTCGCTGGATTTTTCTATTAAATATTCTCGCGCGCGTATTCAGATAAAAATTTCAACCTGTGAAACTTTCTCGAGTGAAGACCCCCATGAGGCACGACAAATTATCAATTAATCAATTCTCCCTGGTTTCAGGTCGTCAAAATGTTCATCATCGTTGTCCTGATATTCGCTATCTGTTGGCTACCATATCAAGGCTTCTTCATACTGCTCTACCACCAGCGCCGCATAAGAGGCAGCAGTTACGTGCAACACGTTTATCTGAGTTTCTACTGGCTGGCCATGGCGAATGCAATGGTCAATCCTCTTATATACTACTGGATGAACAACAGGTGAGTCCACTCGAGCTCCACATTTGCTATCCGGAGATTTCCTTGAACTACTGACGCCCTATCGATTCCCCCGACATCCCAGCCGTTTTTTCCCATCCAGAAAGGCACTCCAGTGCTTCCATTGCAAATTGAAAAGTAAGCGATCGGTGGGGAAAATTGTTGAACTGGCAATCTACCGTGATGAGTCAACACTTCAGTGTAATTGTGATTGAAGGAGCCTGGTGAAAACTTCACCCGGGGATTAATTACTCAAGTAGTGCACAAGTTATTTTCGTCCGACATACGAAGAGAAAAGTTGGATAAAAATTATCTCGAGAATCGTGATAAATTTTCTCCGAATTTCAACAACTGGTTGGTGCAATTTAACAACTAATTGTTGAAATTCACCAAATAATTTTCTCCGTGAATGGTAATCGTAGAGGGAAATATAATTCAGAAAAAAAATTCTGGTTTTTGGTGGAATCTTTCGATTTTTCGGAAAAAAAATACATCTATGGATGCAAAAAATATCCTACTATTTAATCAAATTTCCCACACCAACAGGAGATTGTTTATTTTGTTGAAAAAATTTTCACGGGACAGGAGAATCTCATCCTGTTAAAAGGCTTCTTTCAGTGGAGGATTTGATGTTTCAAAAAACCGTGTATTATTGCTTGAGATTAATGCGGCAATTCTCTTTTTTTCAGCAAGAAAATCAAACAAAAAAACTTGGAAAATTTGACCCGAGGTAATTCTACAGAAAATATCTCAATCGAATAAGCTGTTTGAAAAAATCGAATTTTATGATTTTTTTTTCTATAGAATATTTCTATTGAACTTTCTATTAGTTTTCTATTGAAATGTTAAAAAGAATGTTCGGTATTTAATGTTATCTTCACCATTTGCGGAACCTCCTCTTCTCCTCAATCGCGTGACGAAATAAATTTGAATGACCGCAACGGTTCTTATTCGAAAAATCCAGGGGATCGCCGACGCTACTCAATGTAAACAATTTTATGATATTCCCGCACGTGACGCAACTACATATAAGTAAGATGGGATTGATGGATTTGCTCACGTAAAGCGACTCATCATTTTTTTTTTCAATTTAAAGAAAACGCCACCTCAGTTTTCCAAGCAAAAAACTGCGCAGAATTGAACAAGCCAAATCGAAAGTACATCAATCACCCTAAACGAAAGAGAGTAAAAGAATCAAAGTTCATTTAATTTCGAATCAAGGGGAAAAAGTTGGTGACAGTGAAGTTCTTTAGATGCTCCCGGGGGAATTAACTTGCAAAAGAAACGAGAAGAATGTTCTCCGTCGCGAGAGATTTATCGAATTGGCTGCTTGGTACTCATTCAATATTGCATGGTCGACTGGTTCAAGCCCCAACATTCTGGAGGCACTCGAGAAGTGTTGGTGAAAAGTAGCGCGGATACGAAAATTTTACGCTGATCAAAATCGATTGAGATAGCGTAGTGGTAGCTTTTCTTTTATCACTGCAAAAACTGATGTCCGAATTCCATACATTTTTGTAGACGTTTTTTAAAAACCTTTGCGACAGTTTTATAGACATTTTTCAAATATCAAAACCCGAATTCATCGAAATATGTTGATAGTTCAGACTAAATGGAAAAAAACTTGGCGACGGGTCAGGGGAAGGTGAGGTTAACTTTTATGTTAATTACTAGGGGACTACGCCCCCTATGGTCCTTATTCTGACCCTTGTCACCCTCAGTCTGATCCTCATTATACCCCTCGTGACCCTTATTTTGACGCTTAATTTTGGAGTCTTAATGTCGAGTACTAAATTTTCATCACCAGAAGTCGATTTGGATTTTTATAACATAGAGAGATACCATATAAACATTAAAATCCACACAGAAGAACCTAAACGTAAAATACGTTTGAAAAGTCGTCGTTTACGCTTTCTGAAGCGTATTTTACACTCGAGGTCGTCGCACACAAAAAAACCTAAACGTAAATTACGTTTAAGAAGTCGTCTTTTACGCTTGAAGTTGAAGGGTAAATTACGCTCAAAATGGCTGTAAATTACGATTACATAAACGTAATTCGCGACGATTATGAGCGTAATTTTCGATTGCGAAATCGTAAATTACGACAATTATAAATCGTAATTTACGACAATTATAAACGTAAATTACGTCTTCATAAACGTCGTAGATTACGATGATTTTTTTGTATTTTTGATAAACGTAATTTACGTTTTGATAAACGTAAAAGACGCTTTGCTTAGGCATAATTTACGTTTTGCTAAACGTAAACTACGTTTTAATAAAAGTAAAATACGCTTTGTTTAATCTAATCTTTGTAGAATACTTTTTTTGAACGCCTAAATTCCGATTTTCATGACGGAAAAAAAGCCATCAGACATCATATTGACGTTAAGTGTAAATTACGTTTATCAAAACGTAATTTACATTTCGCAAAACGTAATTTACGTTTAGGTTTTTCTGTATGAAAGGCATAGTTTTTGCAGTGTACAGACTCGATTTAACTTCAGCTCAATTCAGCGATAAAAAAAATACATTACGAGCATCAAAGGAAATGAAGAGTTTGAAACACCCATGAAGCAGCCAGAGGAATTCATGTTGGAATGAACTTTCGAATGACGTTTCAATAGTGGAACGCTCGAGTTGCTATTTTCATGATTAGACTGGTCAGCTTTTATTTGCGGACGAATGTAATTGATGCAAATCCGAATAGTCATTGGCAATCGACGTTTATTGGATACAATACAAGTGGAGAGCCCCATTAATCAAAACTGTTTCAATGTTTCCACAGATTTCGAGTGTACTTCCAGCAAATCATCTGTAGATGCTGCGTGGTAGGTCGGGGAAATACAAGAAGTCGTCAAATGCACGAATTGACAGGATTACGCCGGTCTGACACAGCCCATTCTCATTCCGGTAAATTAATAGCGATTATTACAACCGATAAGTCCTAGACCTTCACGTCAATCCATTTATACACATATTTCAGTGAAGCGTTATTTCGATTCTGTTCATTTTTTTCTTAATGCAACGCTGCACTTTGTTTTGGGTTTTTTTTGGGAAGTACGTTTTTACTTATGTCAAGAAACTCGTGGCTTGAAAATTTTCAAGAGCAAAATATCTGGCAGTCAAAAAACGCGTTCGGTAGGATTTCACTTCCAGTCGTCCCCATGGCCTTCAGATGTACTGTTGGAAAATTACTATTGAAATTTCAAGTGAAAAAGCTTGATTCTTAACAACGACATGAAATTTATGGATATTTTGTCATAGACGACGTTAATTTCTTGAATATTCAAGTAATTCTCGATTTTCAGGTTCATACGACACTGAAAAACATTGAAAATTTTGAAAATTAAGGGAATAACTTTTCTGAATTCTTAATCTATTAAAAATTGAATTATATATGATGTTTAATTATCACGATGAGTTTGGAAACTCAAGTTTTCATTGAAAAATCCATGATTGTTCAACATGACAACCCCAATTTTCTTGAATTTTCAAGATGAATGAAAAATTTTGTGAACGCTATTATTTTAAATTTAATTAAAACGCAACGTCAAAAATTCAGATGACGCTGTCACTGAAATTTCAAGAAATTTCTAACAGTGTTTATCACTAGTTTCCGGCGACATCTTCGCCAATTTCCATCGCCATCGTCATTAATTTTTAGGGAAATGTCACTGATTTTGATGGACCCATCTCCAATTTTAGAAATCTATCACCAGATTTCAGTGATAGAAGTCAATAATTGGAGATATAGATTGAACAAAATCAGTGACACGTGTAAAATCTAAATTTTTTCTCTCTGTATAAAATCAACCTTTTAATTCCCAAGAAAAAAAAGTACCCTACCGGCGTGGGAAATTTTACTGCACAGGAGAATAATTTTTGCATGCATAGATATATTTTTTTACCGAACGCATCGTGAAATATCCTCCACAAACCGGTATTTTTTCATTGAATTAAACTTCGCGCCGCGATTACTTTTGTACAGTAAAATTTGCCACGATTTTCTAGGTAATTATTACCCAAACTTTCTCTCCGTGCATACTAGCTTCCATTTAGAATTTATTTTCAATTTCAATCCCCAAATCTCAGTTGTATCTACACTCCTTTAAGCCTCTTCTTTACGGACCCTGGCCATGACACAAACATTAAAATCCCTCAATAATCGTCGACTCCACGCCGACTCACGTTGTTTACACTACCCCAACAGCACTATCTCCTCCATCATCGCAACAACTCTGGAAATGCCAGTTCGATTAGAGTGAAGTGGCATTAAGGCACTAGTGACCACGAAGCTGAAATTTCCCTCAATGTACAATGTAAGTGCATCACACCGAGGAGCACTGTATCATGGTACCGTGAGATAATGCCCTGAATAAACGAACCCCTTATTTTCGTCCACTCTCGCCTGAGTTTACTCAGCCATCTACATTTATGGCCGAACCCCTCAGGTGGCTATACCGCCACTGCAATATTTGCACTTCCATAGTGGTTTCGGGTGAGATTAGTGCTCGGTCTCGAGCTGAACTGAAGTTCCAAAAAAATCCAGTGGCTGGCATTCAGCCAGAGAGACATAAAATCTTGACTGCAAGTGGTAAACAAAAATGAACCGAGTATTTTTGGTATGTAAATGCCAGCGGCTGAATGTTTACAGTGAAAAATATATTTTTATGAAAATTGAAACGAATAAAAACAGATACAACGCTCACACGGCGGAAAATCGAAAATGATGACCGACGGAGCTTAACCCTCCGGAACTGGCTGAATGACCAGAGCGCCGCCTTTTCTCGATTTTTTCTTGTTGCATGCAAAATTATGTATGAAAAAATTTGTAAAAATTATAATGCCTAGTTCAAACCCTCCAGAATGGACTGGTAAGATTTCTATCCCTTGAAAACCCCATGAATACCATGAAAAATAATAATTTAGTGAGACTGGTACGGAAAAGCGGCGCCTCGCCGCCCGGAGCCAGTGGACTTGTGTAGTCGGTTTGTTGCCACGTCGTTCGTTTCAGTTCAGATATACTAGGAACGTCAACATCTCTATCAGGTGCCGTGTTTGGCGTCTCATAAAAAACGCGAATTTATTTTTTTTAGAGCATAAATGGTGTTCAATTCGAGAAAAATGTGTGCAGTGTAGATTTTTATTCACGTATAGGGCTCCAATACGGCAACACCGCGCTAACCGTAACACGGGCGGTGCGTTGCTCACCGAGCCACACTGAGAAAAAAATATATTTTTGCCAAATATTCATTTACTGGAGAGAAGTATTTATTTTTTCAAAATCGTATTTCTCCAATCGAGTCATTCCCAGGCGAGCCTGACTAAGTTTCAATTACAACACTCATGTTGCTCTGAAGGATGACTATGTTGCACATGACCTTGGATGGACTCTTCTAATGATTATTCATATTTCCAAAATTTTTCATTTTCTACAGGGTAGAATTTCGATCAATTTTTTAATGTTGATAATTATTGAAGAAGTTCACTCAAGGTCATAACTAACATGATGATATTCTAGAGCAATATATTTGACATGATTGAAACCTAATGAGGATTGCCTGAGAATGACTCGAATGGAGAAATACGGTATTGAAAAAATGAATACTTCTCTCAAGTAAATGGATATTTGGCAAAAATAATTTTTTTTCTCAGTGCAGTGGACTCGGGTGGGCACCGAACGCCAGTTCAGGAGGGTTAACTTCATTGTTGCCAGTGACAGTGCATTCAGGGGCGCGGGGGACTAAACTCTTCGGTTGGACAATTTCTATTCGGATTATTTGAAGCTTCGCCTCATCAATCCCACCCGGTACTTCTGGTCACGCTGATTGGTGAATCAATGGACTAATGGTTTCATATTTATTTCAGGGCGATACAGAACAACATCGATACGGTGGCGTCACAGCACTGGCGATAGCCAGGTCCAGACATTCAGGATGAACTCACGGTCAATATACGAGAAGATCCATGGCGGCAGACAGGATGTCACTATTATTTGAATTCACTCGTCATTACCGATTTCTTATCGTTTATCTGTAATTAATTTTGATTGTGTGAATCAATTTCTTATGCTTATGCGTAATGAATGCTTGGGGATTATTGAGCCACATTATGGTTGTGACGGGACATTTAAAAATGGAGGGAAAAGTTTTTAATAAAGTCGACCGGGGGAAACAGCGTCGGCGGACGGGAAAATTATCTGCCAACGGAATTTTACAATCCCTTTTGTATGTGTTGATAACATTTTTTAAAAGTTTAAGTTGGGCTTTTGTTGCGCCTTGAATAATGGAGAAATGGAGGTCAAAGGGAGAACTAATGTACAAATTTTTCAGCGAAATTCATCGAAGTTTTTTCCGCGTTTCAATGCAACTCAAATAATAGGATATTAATGAAAATGGAGGAAATAATGTCCTTAAAATTTTTTGAATGTATTGTTGATTCTGGAATTTACAGATAAAATAATATTATAAATTTCGATAATCGTTATGAGCACCAGTTGGAGTTAATGTATACGTTATGTGTAAAATTTTCATGTGATAATAAATAACGAGCAATTTGGATTAACCGTGAGCGTGTAAATTTTTTTAACATGTTGATTTTTTAAAAATTTCTCTGGTCTAGCTAACTTTATCCCAACTTTCGCAACATTAATCCTGCGAGTTGGAGAGAGATTTTCTCGTGGCATTGTGCCATTCACCAACAAGTCCCATTTTCCATGTTTGAAGTCACTATGGCTCGGAATGGCCCGGAAATACTGACTCGGAAAGTCGAGACATAATTCACGGGGTAAAATTCAAAGGAACTTTGAAACTGGTATCGTTATTAAAGTTTAAAATCTGTGATATGGGTGAATTCTAGTGACAGTAACGATTGAAATCAACAGAGAAATATCGAGTATTCATTGAAATACCACCAACATTCATCCCGAGAACTAATAACAATCACTCACTCCCGCAAATAAAAAAATCCACTTTTATCACGTGTCAATATTGACAAGAGATGGTAGGTTACATTTAACATGGAGTGCTCGAACGGACGAGAATGCTCGATCAACGTCAACACTCGCTCGTCACCCAGCGATTCATCGCTTCCACTATCGTCCAACATATTTCTCCCTCCTAGGGATTAATTATTTTTCCACTATTAATTCTCGTCATGCGACGCGCAGGAACAGCACGTGGATCCAATCCCCTTGAGCAGTGCAACGTTTGAATCAATGAATCGACTATTGGAATCGAATTTCATGGAGACATTATTGTACGCCGACGCGAGAACGTATTTTGAGAGATGGAAGTGGATACTTGAAAATATTCACATCAAAAGAGAGAGTTCGTGAAAGGCGAATGAGAGGAAAAGTTTCAGAGGAAAACGCGATGGATTCATTCTCCGTAAATTTAATTCTCTGGAAATGATACCGTTTTCAAAAGATAACGAGCTCATTAGGGCTATATCCATTCTCCATTGTTCTAAATATAGATTCGTAATGATGAAGATATAATAATAATATCAATAATATTATTGATGCGATAAACTCCGAGACTGAGCTTTCCGTCGAAGGAAAATTCCAGGATCTCTTAATTGGAAGAGGAATTCTGGAAAAGTTACTCATCAGAATCCCACACGGAGAATGCGTGAAAAGTCACAATTTAATGAAACAATCAACGGAAACTGTTAATTGCAGTTCAATTATTCAATGGAAATGAATAGAAATCAGGAAAATTCCTTAGATATATCCTTGAATTTTCAATTAACTGGAAATTTATATCAATTTGAAACTAAAGGTTCATATGCTGATCGAAAATTCAAGTAAATTGAAAGAACTCTCCTCTTCCTGCTGCTGCAAAATTTGGAATTCCCTTGAACTTTCCCTAAAATTTCAAGTTGAATTCAGTTCTCATAATATTTTTTGCGGTGATAAATTGTTCATGATATTCCATAATAATGTTTATAAATAATAATATATTAATATTACATTAATAGTAATTCTTTTTTTTAATGACCGGTAGAATGTGATTTTTTTTCTTGGTTACGGCTTCAAGGTGTTGTGCTCAGGTCTTCTGTAATACTTTCACATTATTTTTTGATTGATAATGTGATGGTGGCTATGAGAGGGGATATTAACCATTTTTGTGGACTTGAGGAGAATTCATTTATAATATAAATAGACTGCCCTGAAGAGGAGCGCGTACAACACCGCACACGTTGGAAAAACTGAAAAAAATGAGAGCAATTTTTTGGAGTTAGAGCTTTTTCTTGCTGGAAGGAGTTGTTCTATAAAAATAATAATAATAAAAATCGTGCACGGAGAAAATTATTCGGTGAATTTCACCAACTAGTTGTGACTAAAATACAAATCATCCCCGTAAATTGTGACTTTTCACAGATTTGAAGCCCATAAAGAGGGTAAAACCTATCATTTTTCCACAATTCATTTGACAATTCATTGAGGGTAAAAATTAGGGAAATTTCATCTGACGTTCTTCAAAATTCACGACAACAAAGGCCAATTGCCCCTACATTTCCATTACGTAATCGCACAATTACATTTCACTCGGTTAATCAACCCACATCTTCAGAACAATTTTCATCATACATTGTTCTCCATACACCAGCAATCTTAAATGCCTCCTCATTCCGCAATATTTCTGACCTTACAAATGAGAAGTCAAGTCCTCAGTTGAGAGTTATAGAGCCCTAGAAATACCGGAATAACAAACTACAATGCGCCCCGTAGAATGTATCTCTCGTTTGTATCCCTATGAATTTACATTACTGAAGAACGAGATTACACGGGAAGCCGAGTTTTCTCTCTTGTGCGCCCAGAGTCACTACATCAAGTGCATTCATTTTTCACGATTTACTCGCCATCTCATTTAAATAGTTGGACGCGCCAAATTATGCCCAGCGCAAGCCCCCAACGGGTCGAAATCACTTTTCTATTCATAAATTTGACTCCGCAGACTAATAAAATTCATAAAGATAATCCCCATCTGCGAATTCCAGGCGGAAAAGAGATGCATGGAATTTAAAAATTAAGTGTGAAGCTAATGTACCATTTTTTCAGCGTTTCAATAGGTGTAATGGGAGAGGAAGGGAGCCTCCAGGAACTGGAGATAATGAATTTTTAATTTGTCTCACTCCAGTTGCTTTGAGAAAATGCACCTGAATGTGTTTGTGAGATTCTAATGGCTGTCTGGGACTGTGTGCAATTTCACATATTGATACAAGTGTTTCGCCGAGAGTTTATGATTACTGCGAGCAGCAATCACTGCAGGATTCGCCCAGGCTTTGCGGACCATCACTTTCTTTAATCCTTAATCATTCCGAAACTACTCCCGTGAGGCTCCGCGGAGGGGACCATAATCCTCCGGCTTCGGAATTTATGATTCCCGTGCCTTCCTCGGCACTCCATCCCCCTCTTTTTTCAATTTTTCTCTTGTGATGAACAACTTTTGTAATTGTTTCGTCCAGACTCATCTCCAGCTCATTGTTCGGTTCATTACCCACCACGTCATGCGAACACATTTCTCCCTTCAATTCACGCCTTCCCTCCTTTATTGGTGAGTATAAAAATAATTTTTATATTTAAAACTTACACTATGGACATAACATAGGTTTTTTTTCCTCCAATCCTCTTTTGCTCGGCTTCCATTGAAAATCATCATCTACCTTTTTTCCCTTTCTCATTTATTCTGACTTGGTGAATTCTTGAACGCATATTCGAGGGTGGAATTTTTCTTTGAAGCCATCTCCACCCTTTCACAACTTTTTCCCCCTGACTTTACGCTTGAGGAGTGCTCTGAGCCCCCGATATGACATACCAATGTCCTTCATATCCAAGTAATTTAAGCCACAACCCTCGTGCGGTTTTTTCTACAAACGAGATCGACCGCGCCTCCGAATCTCCTCACTTAGAGTAACGCAATAGGTAAACACCGACCAAAAGACAGACAATTTCAACTTTTTTTTAGTATTTCTGTAAAAAAACTAATAGAAATTGTATTACAAATTTCCATTATTTTCCCATAA